GCAGGTGAGCTTACACTTTAATGGCCATTGGAGTGATACTAAGAACCTTCCAGTTATTTAAATGTGCGTAGGGATTTGGGATAAGGCGCAAGTATTTATTTATTTATTTTGCTTTTATAATTGCATACTTGACAGTGACTTCATTTTGCTTCCCTTCCTGGCTTGTTGTCTAGTACAACCACTGGCCGCTTGCCATCTTTTCTTGTTCACGTCTTAAAATCAGCCTGCGACCTCTGTGCGGGATATTCCCGTCCTGGCCACCAGCTTTTTCCATGGTTTGCTGTCACAATACACCATTGTCTAGTACCCATTGTTGATTTGTGGGTCGATATATGTAGTGATGTCATGTGTCATCCCTGCTAGGCATTGCCATAATATCTCAAAGATTAATGAAGTTATTTGGAAATTAATTCTGAATAGCAGGGCCTGTCATCTCCCACATACCTGTTTGGCAGAGAAGGTGCATGATTGCTAAAAGACTAAATAACGGAAAAAGGCAAAATCAATACTCCCATCTAATTTAGCAGCTTGTTATATCGAGCCTGCAATATGCTGCTGGAAATGGTATTTTTTATAGCTCTATGTCACCGGAGATCACATTGATCTGATCACAGCAGTCTGAATTACGCGTAAAATCTTTGGAAATGTCACATGAATTCTTATTTAGTGTTTATGGCTTCTTTTCGTAATCATGTTAAAAACACAGATTAACCCTTCTCTCCGTTTGGATTAAACACCTGCTTCCCTTAGAAGATCTTCCTAAATTAATACACACCTCCGTGTCATCAAAAGACAGCCTGCTGCTCCATCTCTGTGGGGTTCTGCCCTCTTCTTCGTCAAAGACCCTTCTGTAATATAAATATATGTAAAAAGATTCAAGCTGTATTCCTCCAAATGACACCAGGGAGCAGGGTAGTCAGGATTTATGTAACGTATGTCTCTACTTTTTTCTCTGTGGCCATCACTGTACAATATTATAAAAATGAACATTAACCCTTTATGCCCGTCACTACTAAGCTCTTTGTCACACCACCTGACATTGGAAGGACTGGAATTGAAATGGCTGGGCAGGTTTTTAAGGGGGGACATTGCCAGTGACACAACTTAAGTAACTGTGGCTGCCTACTGAAGGGGCATACAGTGTCAGGACTTATCTTTTCGATCGGCTCCATTTTGACATTTCCGGTATGTGGAACTGTCCCCACCCCCTCTCTGACGCGGCTCTCTCAAGGTTTTTAGAGAAACCGCGCCAGTTTCAAAATTGCTTAGTGATTTCTGTTTGTGACTTCCGCAATCACATTGCCGGCTAAGCTCTTCTTCAATAAGTTTTGTGTACCGAACCTTGGACTGTTTAAACGGATTCCTGCCTTCTCATCTCCTCTGACCAGGGACCGAATATTGGACTTCCCTGCTCTCTCCAATTTCCAAGAACCGGACTGTTAGAAGCTTAACCAACCTCCAGGCTCAAACTAACCTGCCTTTGGAAGACAACTCCCAACAATCCTAAGTATTCATTTTAAAACCTTCTCTGGCTTTTTGCATTACTAATGAACTGTAACCTGCTTGCTAAAAAACTCTGCTACTAAAACACGGTTATCAACATCTCTGTTACTTTTGCTATTGCTTTATGCTTCCAACTAACAACCTGCAAAATCCACGCAGCCTTAAAGCTACAGTAACTTTCTTAATTAAAGGATTTTCATTTCACACTCTATTAGAAATAAGGAAATTTCAAATCTGCAGTTGAGTTCCACATTAATTCTACTTGTGACATAACATACAGTGTCCTTCATCTTCCAAAATGCTAATTTTCTCACATACAGTAGCTGTGACAAAAATAAATAAATATAAATGATTAAATACTTAGCGTATAGGTATTTTTAAGAACCCTGAAGGCATGACAGCTTAACAAAACGGCAACAATTTAAAAAGAAAGTCTGCATTTCAGCATAATGCCGACACAGTAAATACAGTTAAATCATATAATTTGAATGTAAAAGTATTTAAAACAGCTTTAGCAATCTTTCTCTATAATGTAAAGATAATGCTGACTGTGAAATGGTAGAGTCCGTTTACCACCCCCCCCCCATTACTGTAGGAATGATATGACCCATTAAAACTTCCTGGACTGTGTGAAAGGGGAGGAGGTGATTACATTTTCTACACACATCAGGAATTTTAATTCTCATGCCTTTAGTAGAAGAATCTCTATTTTAGGGTCCTATCTCACCACCCATGTTTTGTTACCTTGTGACATCATCCAGACACACCAGGGAACTATCCCCAGCCAGCACAGCACAAGCCTATCATTAGATGCACATGTGTACATTGTTGAGTGCACTAGGAACATGTAGCGAGCACCCCTCACTCTCCCCTTCTGTGAGCAGGACTGACCATTATGTGCCCATTTTGGGAGAAGCCAGCAAAGCAAGCTAAATTTCGTTTTTCAAAGTACAAATAAAAACGTTTATATGCAGTTCTGGGGGGGAAGGGGTTAATGGTTACCGGAGACAAATCAAGACTCCAAATGGTCAGAAAAAATGTAAAATGGTCAGAAAAAAACACATATATTCTCAATGCTGATTATTCTTAGAGAGGCCCTACAGATGGGTCTCCTGTGCATTATAGTAGAGGATTACAGGGAGACATTAAAATGCGTTGGGCATATTATAAAAATGGTTGTTTTTATCATTGCTATCTATATAAAATCTATAGATAATGAAACTAATCGATACAGTAAAAATATTGTATTTTTCTGCCTGTCACTAAATAGTTTAACAAAAGCAAGTTATTTTAATTATAACTAAACAACTTTAAATAAAATATTAGATAGCTAGTGATGCTCTGATTCCTATTTGACCATAAAATTTGATTATATATCACAATAAATTATTTTATAGCACAAATTGCAAAATTGATTTTTTTTTTGTTATTTGTATTAGTTTTGTTGTTTTTTTTTTATACGAGCAGTATTTGAGTCTCATCTTCCACTTGCTGGTTCATCTACCGAATTATCCAAATCCCTTAGTGTAGACGTACCGTTCTGTCAACCTGATTTATATTACTTCATTTTATGTTATCTACTAACACAGAAAAAGACTTTAAATGAGCCATGTGAGATCATTAATAAACAGATTGGAGAAGAGAAGAGGACCCAGGACAGAACCTTAATTCATTCCTATTATCATTTTTATTCAACTTCAGAATATTCCCTTCACAAATGTCTGCACACTAACTTATTCAATGCCTGACTTGTCTGGCTATTGGGATTTTGTCGTTATCAATATTATGTAACATTTAGTTTTGGTTTATTTGTATATTTTAGGAGTTTCCTTTTGTGTAATTGGCATACATAGACTCCATACATTAAAGGGTTATTAACCACACCTCGAAAACACGGTCCAAGAAGGCAGAAACGGTTACCCTCTTTTGCAGAGAAAAAATGCCCAGATTTACATTCTATACTGCCCTGGGAGAAAGATCAGTCTGATTTAGAATTGGGCAGTAGCCATTCATCTAATTATCTAATTTGATCAAGGTCAGTTTGACTGTAGAACGTTTGACAGTGGTCACATGACCACAAACAAGAGTTAGGGAGAGAGGAAGATTTAAAGTGCAGAGTTAGTAGATAAAACGAAGAGTTTTACTTAGTAAATAGAGATGTGGTATCCTGCTATTCCACTAAAAGAAGGATCCCCTACATTGAGCAATAAACAGATATTTCACCCTCGCTGGCCCAGGTCCTTGGCAATGCCATTGATTAACATGTGATGATGGTCAAAATGAACCCAATAAAATGGCACAAAACCTAATTCAATTAAACTGGACACAGCCAGAACTCCCGCAGTCAATATGATTTCAAAAACAACAGCCATTGTGTGGGTTAGCTTCATAATGACAAAAGTCCAAATAATCCAAATAGAAGCATTTTCACTTTAATCTATTTGTTTTTCCCTTTAACTTGTACAGTGACATTATGGGTGTCACAATGTAGACGATCATACACAAAACACCCTGAACTGTAGCTTTGCTCAGTCCCTCGAGGAATGCTATTAATTACTTTATTAAAATATCTCCCTGAATATTAATAACTTGCACAGTTTCACATTCTCCGGTCTATTCACTGCAGACTGTGCAATACAGAAAGTGTAAACATTAGATGACTCTTTACAGGAAGTGTTTAGGAAGGGTGTGTAAGTCACATGCAGGGACGTCTGACTGGAGCTGCATAAACAAAGTGATTTAATTTCTTAATAGCGTAGAATTGAGCAGTTAGACTGCAGGGACATAATTTATACACCAAAACTGCTTTATTAAGATAAAGTTGTTTTGGTGGTTATCGTGTCCATTTAATAATGTATGGTATGTCACTTGTCAGAGCAAAGAACCCAGGGTCTGAGTATTACTGCACGTTTTGTAGAGAGGTTTGAAGATGTCTTCTTTAGGATTCCTCACATTATGATGACTTAATTACAGCACTTATTAGTTTTGTAATAGTTCCTTCAATAAATCTTATCATATCTGCAGCATTTTCCTGAGATTCCCAAGAGAGTGATTTTGTGGAATTTCCCTGGAGAGAAATAAAATATATTGCGTCTTACAGCCAGACATCTCTTGTGCAGCAAGATGTGTCTAGTCGCCTCTTCACATTCCAGCAGATTTAAAGCCATGACTTTCTATATTTCCAGTTTCTAACTAGCAAAGGCCAAATCTTCATATTTTCAATTTATAGAGACACTGGCAATAAAATCAATACTGGTTCATGGATTGCGGGATAAAACTTACCAGGAAAAGTTAAAGGATCTTAACATGTATAGCTTGGAGGAAAGACGAGACAGGGGGGATATGATAGAAACATTTAAATATATAAAGGGAATCAACACAGTAAAGGAGGAGACTATATTTAAAAGAAGAAAAACTACCACAACAAGAGGACATAGTCTTAAATTAGAGGGGCAAAGGTTTAAAAAAATATATGGAATAGTGATGTCCTGAACGGTTCGCCGTTTCCAGCCAATCAGCAGCAGACCCTCCCTCCCAGACCCTCCCACCTCCTGGACAGCATCCATTGTGAAGCTGCATTCTTAGTGAGCTGTCCAGGAGGTGGGAGGGTCTGGGAGGGAGGGTCTGCTGCTGATTGGCTGAAATGTGTCAGCTGACTGTGAGGTACAGGGTCAAAGTTTACTCAATGATGACGAATAGGGGGCGGACCGAACTGCGCATATGTTCGCCATCCGTGGCGAACCGTTCGGGACATCCCAAATCAGGAAGTATTACTTTACTGAGAGGGTAGTGGATGCATGGAATAGCCTTCCAGCTGAAGTGGTAGAGGTTAACACAGTAAAGGAGTTTAAGCATGCGTGGATAGGCATAAGGCTATCCTAACTATAAGATAAGGCCAGGGACTAATGAAAGTATTTAGAAAATTGGGCAGACTAGATGGGCCGAATGGTTCTTATCTGCCGTCACATTCTATGTTTCTATGTTTCTATGTTTCTAAAAGGAGCACTGTAATCACCATAACCACTGTGGAGTGTCCTGACACCAACTCAGTGTAAGTTGTCAAACTGTGTTTGAATGGTTTGACTACTTGCCTGGGCTCTGACGGATGCTGCTCCCTGCCTCCACTACCTCAGACAGAGAGCTGGGAGCTCCCTGGGCGCTGATGAACCCAGGTAAGGTGTCAAACCAGTTAGTGTCTTACTCTTTACAGTGGGGGAGGGGCACCAGGACATCTCTGGCACTTTAACCAATACCTGAACCTGTAGTTGTTATGGTTGTTGGAATATTGCCGCTAAAGCCTTGCAATTAAAACAGTGCAATAGCAGGGAAATGCCATTGTTTACTGTAACGGAACCGCTGGCACCCCGACAAAAGGCATTTCATCACACATCTCCCTTTTGGGGGGGAGACTAACCAGGTACCTGACCTGTCGGTCAGTGCCTGAGTTAGTAGATAAATCCACCCACAGTGAACAAATACAGGATTAGCCCACCCACAACGCCCATTTACTGCACCTGGTGGTTCCTCTGGTGCTACTGGGCAACACACTGTGGGGACTTGGGGGGCAGAGGCCAACTGCGCTCTTCCCCGATGCCAGTGCTTCTGCTGGGGTAATCTGGACGCAACTTGGTTGGGGAGGGGAGACATCACTTAATTCCTCCGCCCGGTATTCTTGTGAGGGTAGGTGGTGATCTGGATAGGTCGTCCAGCATCCCTGTAGGTCGGGTGCAGAGACTACGGTCCCATCTGCACCGTCTGGCAGACAGCATCCCAGGGAGAGGAGTTTGTTGGTCCCCCTCCCCTGCAGCAACCATCATCACTGGGAGTGGAAATGGTTGCTCCCACCACCCAGCACCAGGCAGAATTACCGGGAGTCGAGACAACCGGTCTCTCTCCCCAGTGGCAGTGTACCCTCCCCTTGGTAGTGGTGGGAGCAACCATTTCCACTCCCAGTGATGATGGTTGCTGCAGGGGAGGGGGACCAACAAACTCCTCTCCCTGGGATGCTGTCTGCCGCTGGGGAGAGAGACCGGTTGTCTCTTCTCCCTTGACAACACACTGCCTCTGGGGGGTCAGACCGACTGTCTCGACTCCCAGTGATGATGGTTGCTGCAGGGACGAGGGACCGACAATCTCCTCTCCCTGAGATGCTGTCTGCCACTGGAGAGAGAGACTGTTTGTCTCTTCTCCCTTGTCAACACACTGCCGCTGGGGAGTCATACCGACTGTCTCGATTCCCAGTGATGATAGTTGCTGCAGGGACGAGGGACCGACAATCTCCTCTCCCTGGGATGCTGGCTGCCGCTGGGGAGAGAGATCAGTTGCCCACAGCCCCAATCTCCGCAATCGGAGCTCAAATTCCCATGCCGCTCAATTCTCCTCATCTAACCAGCGCATGGTTGCCAGGATCGTCTCTACCGAGGGATCCGGGCCATACCTGGTTAACCGCCTCCTTGTCTCCTCCCTGTAAGCGGCACCCTCAAAGCGATAGGTCATGTTTGCTGTTAACAGGGGCGCTGTACGAATACTAGCGTTGCCCTCAAATTGTAATTCCAAACGTTACCGGTGCCTCTGCGCTGCTTCTCCTCGCACTAGGACGCCATCCCACCGCTGCCACCACTGTAACGGAACCGCTGGCACCCCGACTGGGTACCTTCCGCTGCTCCTAGTGCTTTCCGAGACCTCCAAGCACTCTGCCCAACACCATAACCACTGCAGACCCCACGAACCGCCGCAGCTTGGTTGGGGTCTCATTGTCTCCAACCACTCTGGACCCAAGACCAGGGTCTAGCTTCCAGTAGGTTGACCTCTCTCCGAATTCCAGAGAGCAGGAACAGTAACAAGCTCTTAGCAGAGCTTAGTGATTATACCCTGGGGAGTATAGTGATTATAGCAATCCCCAGAGTGTAGTTCTCCAATCCCCCAAACATGAGCCGAAACTTCATGAAGGTTCAAGATGATCTGAACTTTTAATGACCACACACTGGCTTTTATGCAAGTCCCCATGCAAGGGGACATCCCACAGGGTGGGACACAGTACGACCAATCGTTTACAGGAAAACCGTAAAACACACCCAGCACCAACATACAATCCCTCCCCTCTGCCTGTGATATAATTACTGAACACAATGGGTTAATGTAATTTTTCACAGGCAGGAAAAATACACTTTTTACACATACACTGTAACTTTAAAAATATGCATCATATTCACATAAAACATACATATTTAGAATCAGCATACTTTAAATATAAACAAAAATCATGCAAATCCTTCCATTAGATAAAAACAGTTCCAGTGAATCAGGCTGTGCGGTCGGTCTATTTCCCATGTTAAAGTCAGTTCAAACAGGCGAACGACAACCATTCGAATTGTCGAACTGTCGAATGAACTGGCGTTCGAACTTTCAAATGCATTGAAGTCTGGAGAAGGTAAAACTTCAGCTGAATTAAAGATGGCCGCCGCCACGTGTTCGTTTGTCGAATGGCGGCCCCCCAGCGTTCGGCAATTTACCTACAGCAGGCTCCCAGCCTGGGAGGTAAATTGCTTGCTCACTTCCACTTCTGGGTGGTTCCCCTGTGTGGTACCTGATTCAGTAAGCTCCATTTACTGAACCAAGTGGGAGAAAGCCATAGACAAAGTATTTGAAAGGTCTGGGGACATAGTCTTAAAGAACATTGTCACACAAAGTCTCAATATATCCCCAGACGGTTCTTAAAGGGCCAGCCATAGGCGTGCGCACGGGGTGTGCCGGGTGTGCCTGGGCACACCCTAATCCCTGCGGCACGCCTATGCATACTGAGACCGGCAGGGGAGATCTCAGGATCTCCCCTGTCGGCTCATGCAGAGCCGGCGCTATCCGAGCGCCGGCTCTGCTCTCAGCCTCCCTTCCCACCGACCCACATGCAGGGAGGGAGGCAGGAGAGGACCGGCGGAGCTATTGCCGGCAGCTCCGCCGGGTTCCTCTCGTGAGATATGAGCGTTGCCATGGCAACGCTCAAATCTCGCGAGAGTGAACTCTAGCCCCACAGGACCACCAGCACGATCCCCCCTCCCTACAAAAGGTAAGAAGGGAGGGGGGATAGCAAGTAATCCACCCCCACAATCACCCACCCACATACAGCACATACATACAGCACACATACAGCACCCACAGACATACAACACCCACAGACATACAGCACCCACACACATGCACAGCACCCACACACATTCAGCACCCACAGACATACAGCACCCACACACATACAGCACCCACAGACATACACAGCACCCACACACATACAGCACACACATTCAGCGCACCCACAGACATTCAGCACCCACACACATTCAGCACCCACACACATTCAGCACCCACAGACATACACAGCACCCACAGACATACACAGCACCCACAGACATACACAGCACCCACACACATACAGCACCCACAGACATACACAGCACCCACATACATTCAGCACCCACAGACATACAGCACCCACAGACACACAGCACACCCACACACATACAGCACCCATACACAGCACCCACAGACATACACAGCACCCACAGACTTACACAGCACCCACACACATACAGCACCCACACACATACAGCACCCACAGACATAAACAGCACCCACACACATACAGCACCCACAGACATACACAGCACCACACACTTTCAGCACCCACAGACATACAGCACCCACAGACATACACAGCACCCACAGACATACACAGCACCAACACACATACAGCACCCACACACACATACAGCACCCTCACAAACACACACAGCACCCTCACACACAGCACACAAACAGCACCCTCACACACACACAGCACACTAACAGTACCCCCACAAACACAAACAGGACATTAACAAACACACACACAGCACACTACCAGTACCCTCACACACAAACAGCACCCTCACAAGCGCACACACACACACAAACAGCACCCTCACACACAGTACATTAACAGCATCCTCACAAGCACGCACACACAAACACCTTCACCCACATAGCACACTACCAGCACCGTCACACACATATCACACTAACCGCACCCTCACTAGGGCAGCACAAAACCAGGATACACCACTGCTAGTCACACCTCCCTGCATATAACTTGTACAGATTTCCTTAACACTTCCTGTAAAGAGTCATCTAAAGTTTATCCTTCCTTTTATTGCGAGTTCTGTTTAATAGCTTGCTAGACCTTGCAAGAGCCTCCTGTATGTGATTAAAGTTCAATTTACAGACAAAGAGATACAATTGTTTAAGGTAAATTACATCTGTTTGAAATCTGTGTCAATCAGAGCCAGGGGAGGTGTGACAAGGACTGCATAAACAGAAACAAAGTGATTTAACTCCTAAATGGCAGATAATTGAGCAGTGAAACCTGAGAGGCATGATCTAAACACTAAAACTGCTTCATTAAGCTAAAGTTGTTTAGGTGACTATAGTGTTCCTTTAATGTATGGGAAAAAGTTGGTTACTAGAATAGTTTACAGTGAAAGGTTAGTTTATTGGATGACACAGATGAGAGGAGGCAGCGTGAGTTACCAAGGTGCAGGGAGGGTAAGTTGATATGCTTGTAGCGGACCCCGGGTAACCCGACCAGTTACCTCCGCTAATTCCTTCCCTCAGCCACTCTGGAACCATTTAAAGTATAAGGACACTCATTCCCCCCAGTAACTGGACGAGACACAGCTCTGGGAGTACAATATGATTTTATTGTGCCACACACGGCTTTTATGCATAACCCCTTACAACGGTCTGCCACAAAGACAAACAGGGGTTTCTGTGCTCGTGAGTTTGTCACAAGCTCCTGGAGGAGCCTGCTTGCCAGCCTCCTCCCCACCGACTATGGACCAGGTCAGCGACTGTAAAGACCCATATTTTATTCCTCCTGGTTCGCCTTTTTCAGCACTTTCCATCGCACAGAACCGAACGCTAGCTCCCTGACAGCCGTTCGCATGGACCAAAACCGTGAATAGACTTCAAGGGGACTTAGCCACGAAAGCCCTGGAAATATTTTCAGAATGAAGGCTTTGTGGTTCCCGGTCGGTCCCCAGCAGCACTTAGCCGCAATTCTATGGAACTATTTTCAGCTAGGGGACCATGCGTGCGGTCAGTCAAATTAGGACTTCCAGGAAATTCCGGAACCCTTGAACTTATCTGGGTGATTTTTGGATATGTTGGTCATCCAGATCAGGGCTATCAGGTGATGTAACCTTTGTGGGGTTTTATGTATTTTAAGGTACATATGGGGTATTTGGGAAATGTGTGTTTTTTGTGCCTGGAGATAATTGAGTTTAACTTAATTATCTCCCAGGCACAGGGGAGGGATTACCTTGTTTTGTATGGGAGTGTCCTGGACCTTAGAGCCAATGTAATCATGTGTATGTTTTAACTGTAGTCTACTCTCAGGTCCAGTGGGGAGTGTCCCTTGCATGGGGACCTGCATATAAGGCCAGTTGTGGCTGCCAATAAAGGCATTCCAGCTTGTACTCCCAGAACTATTTGTCGTCTGGTTACTGAGAGGGGAAAGGGCTATTCTTTAATCACTGTTCCAGTGTGAAGTATTCAACTGGGAAAGTCCTTGTAAGGACTAGAGCTCTCAGGACTGAGTGTCGTCCATTGCCTTGGGGTGTCTAGAGTGAATTCGCCATTCGGCTCCAGGAGGGAGCAATTCCAGGACTAGAGCTCCCAGGACTGAGTGTCATACAGTGCCTGGGGGTTGCTTTTCACAGACACACACAAATGCATAAATACACAGACACACACTCAGATACACACACTGATACATACACTCACCTGGACACAGGTACACACACACACAATCAAACATACATAAACACATATATGTGATCATTTTTATTTTTGCAGCCAACCTCCTGTTAGCTTACCTTTTGTGTCCTGGAGGGTGGTTGCCTGGGCTCCTGCTGCTAATCCTGGCTGAGACTGATGGGAACGAGTTTGTTTGATGTCACTTCCTCCTAGGTAGAAGACACTACAGGTCACGGTTTTAAAGAGCAATACAGCTATAAAACCCATCAGCCACCGGATTGCAAAAAAATTGCAATCAAGACCAATCCAGACATTTATTGTGAGCGCTCAGATTTTAGCAGTTAGTTTACATCCAGACAAGACTCTCATTCGGAGACAGTATTGCTAAACAGTGTGAACAATTTCTGTGTTTGGCTTCGGAAATTAGTGAATAATCCCCTATGTGTCCAGGCAACCCAATTCATTGACTATCGATACTATTGTACAATGTATTCCCCCCTCTCCTGCTTTTCTATTAACACACGTTTTGTGAGCAGAAAGTACATGACTTATGCATAGTCACCTTTTTCGGCATATGCGTAACAAAACCCCCCAAAAAAACACAAATACTTGGACACCTTTATGTGGGAAAATTATCACAACTTTAATAATATATAAATAATACTTACAATAATTTAAAGTCATTGTCACATATTAACATAACATATAACCCCTAAGTCTTTTAAAAATACTACCCCAGACAATGACCCACATCACAATAAGTAAAACCACATTATAACATATAATTAACATATAAACATAACCATTGCCACCGAGGGCATGATTTCCAACTTTATTCCATGTAGGGATATAACGAGATACACCCAACACACACCAGGTTTGGAGCAACCAACAAGCTCGAACCTACCAATACCCTTCCAAACCTAACTGTTCTTAGCAAACCAAACTATTTTACATCAGGACAAACAACCTACACCCCACCTTATCTATCCATACCCCGCTGCCGTGACCAAACGGGAGCTAACAACAAAATAAGGGAGGGAGGGTGGGACAAAACAGGCAAGTGAGGATTAGTTAAGATGGCCCCTGATCTAAAATGGCCACTATATATACTCCTCTAGCACAAACCCCACCTCCTGTTATACTAGCCAGTCCCCCCCTCTACACCCCTCCTATGCCTGTCTCCTAGCAATGTCAAGGCCCATTACTCTTAGCCGCGCTGCTCCACGGGCTACAATGAAGAATGAAGCCTGTGTTTCCTGTGGATCTCTGAACTTTCTCTAACAATGATCCTCAGCAATTTAAGACATCCCAGTAGGACCCACAGGAGACTTTGGCAAAGCCTTACTTGGCAGAAAAACACGTTCTACTGATTACTGTAAGTTTAACCTAATTTAATAAATATCAACTTATTATTACCTTATTTAATACTTTAATTTTTTTTTGTTTCAATTACTTTATTCTACTACCAGGACCCCATTACTACCATATCCTTGGTGGGGAATACTTTCTGCAATGAGTTCTAGAATGTATTATGTTAGACAAGTTAAATATGTTTAGCCATTGATTATCTTTGGCATATTATTGGCTGTGAACCACCAAATACAGCAAGACCAAAGCATATATGTCCACTAGTCAGGATTACACCCATAGCACTCATTTACATCATTTACCCGAGCACTTAGTGGCTCAGTATAATGTGAGTATACGTTTATTACTATTATCTTTATATTTATAATTATTTACCATATTGCACCTGTTTGTGTTCTTGTTTCTCCTATGTATTTACTTTGAGGTCACAGTCCAGAATTTATATCCAGACGTAGGAATTATATTGCCTATAGGATTGGTTCAGAGCTCTGAGAAGCCCCTTGTGACGAGACCAATCTCGCCACATTGCATTGGAGAAGCCTGGTTGCTCGCCTGCTGCCTTTGGACTATGGCCCCCTGTTAAAAGACATCTTTTTTTACCTGCAGAAAAGCTTCATTCGTGCTTTTCTGCCTGGGGTTTGGTAGTTTTGGTTGAATGTGTTATACCCCAGATAGGAATCCCATGGAGCCCATTCATATGAAACTGACTGTAAAGACTTTGGCTCCATGGTGATTAAACTGTATTTGTGTGGTCTGAGCGCCATTCACTTAATAATGTGCGCTCAGACCTGAGCTATCTGGGGATATGTTACATGTCTGTGTTTTATGTAATGAATGTGACTTTATGTATTTTAAAGTGCGTTGTGTCTTTTTGCAACCATGTGCTTAATGGAGTCTGTGTCTGTCCTGGGAGATAATTCAATTACTTATCTCCAGGATAGAAGACTCTGAAACTGGTTTGGGCCAGAAAGCCATGCTTCATTTAGTCACAAAGGACTTTTACTAACTTTTGAACCCCTTGTCTGATTTGTGCCATTTTTGAATATGTTGTTCCCCTGAATGGATTGATTGAGAATATGTAATTTTATGTGAATGTGATGTATGGTTTTGGAGTTATGAAAGTTGGGTAGAAAGTATGTTTTAACTGTTTGTATAATTGAGTTTGCTCTCAGGATAAGGGGAGGGAATATGTGGGATGTAACTGTGATATGATTGGTTGTTTTATCCCTCCCTGTGGGTGGTCCTGTATTTGAAACACTGTAATAAAACCAGGCTGGGTGTGCCAGCACCTCAGACCACTGCTTGACCCTCAACACGGAGCCTTGTCTCGTTCTTGGGGGGATTCACTGTATGCTGTTAGAGACTGATTGCCAGGAGTGTAAGCTTATTGTCTGCTTTTCCTGTTCGTCTGCTAGCAGCTATTTGGGAGGTTCCAGTTCGGGAGTTAGAGTGCTATTTTGTATCCAGTTCAAGAGTTTGGTGTTCTGCAGTAGCTGTTCCTGTATCTCTGGAAAGGGGGCTGATCGCCTAAACGTTTTTTTCCCCTTTTTTGCAAAACGGTCCGTTACAATTGGTGGCAAGCGGCGGGATCGTTCCCACAGACTACAGGACAGCTACAGGCAGACACCATTTCTTTGGATTTTACAATTTGAGGGCAA